ATAGTTTTTTTTTGAGAAATGAACTCAACTCTTTACTCTTTGCTTAACTTAAAACTTAAGTCTTAAAAAAAAGTTAAAATGTTTGTTAAAGACTTTTGAAAACTTTAAAAACTTTGCTTGACTGGCTTCTTAACTTCTAGACTTGACTCTTAACTTCTCTTGACTTTGATCCTAACTTTCCTTGAATTGGATAATGGATTCAAGGTTCATGATCTCATGTTTATGATGATTTCATGATGTTTAGATATACCTTAAAGTGTTGGAATCAACTAGCAAATATAGGTACATTGCTAAGGAACAAGTACAAAAAGATGGGGGAAGAATGGGAAGAACTGGCGCTCTGAGAGGCGCGGGGTGCCAGCCCTTGAGATTCAGGGACCAGAACCCGACATTCAGGGACTGCTTTGGGGCGCGTTGGCTGGCACGGCACCCCACCCCTTCCCCAGGTGTTTGACGACTTTTCTTCTCCGTTTTTCAACTCTAAACCCTCTAAACTTCAATGGTTCCTTCCCAAACCACTTAGAATCATTTATACCCTCAATATATGATAGATTCAAACTGAAATTACACCCGGAAACATGAATCAAATCGCAAGAAACTGTAACAACACAACCCACAAGAATTCAAACGAAACCTTCAACAATGTTCATCAAGAACTCAATTTCTAAACTTTCAAAGACTTAAATTCGCTGAATTAAATCATGGTTGGCGCATGGGTGAACTAACCCAATGATATGTGATCTCACATACCTTGTAGGGATCACCCCTGATGAAATCCACAAGCTAACCTCGATGAAATCGACGAATCTTGAACGTTCTTCTCCTTTCTCCTTTTCTCCAAGCCCTAGCATAAAATTCACTTTTCTAAACTGACTAAAATCTGACTTTACCCCAATTAAACTACCTAAAAACGAATTAGAATAATTAGGTAAGGAAAAGACTAAATTACCCTTCCAAAATCCGGGTTAGACTTTCCTTAATCCAACAGTCAACTCCCAAAGGGCATAACTTACTCATACGAACTTGGAATCGCGCAAACTCAATGGCGTTGGAAAGATCATTCCAACCATATCTGTAAGTATACCTAACTCATCATGGTCTAGGAGTTATGGTTGTTTGAAGTTGACCAAAACTCAACTTTTCCTAACTTAAACAAATTTCCAGATTTTCATTCTTTCCAAAAACGACTATTTCCAATTATTAGCTTCTTCTTAGTTATTTCAAATTGCGCGATGTTACAGATATTTTAGTAAGGTGGAAATTAAAAGAGTGTTATTCCTTTTGAGTGTGTAGTAGTCACTTTGAGTATTGTATTCGTGACTACACAGTATAAAATTCCTTATATCAGTTGCTCATCTTGGCCCGTGGTTTTTCCCTTATTTAGAAGGGTTTTCACGTAAAATTCTTGGTGTCATTATTTTCCCATTTTATTTCCATTATTTTGACCATATATATTTTTGTATTTAGTCCGTGTTTTCCCAACACTTTCCGCAACAAAAAAACGAGTTTTGGCAAGTCAAGTGAGTTTTTTAAACTAATCCCACTAGTATTTTAGTTGTTTGAGGTGCATGTAACCAGTACTCAATGTGATTAGTTAGGTAGTGAGAAGTTAGATTTTGATGAGGTGATGTCCAGCTAAAGGGTTTTAACTATTTTAAATACGTTTTGGTGTAGTTTGAGGTGATTTGAATTTATGGGAGCATATATTTGATTTATTGAAAGGGTTGCATGGACTGTGAATTCGATGTAAGTGAGACTTTAAGCTTTAGTGCTTGCTTTTCAAACCTACTTTGAAAATTTGTTTTAAGTTACTAAATACTAGTGCTTTGTCAAGCTTTAGTGCTTGACAAAATACTAAATATTCTTTTATAAGTTATATGTGGTGTGATATTGAATATCCTTCTTCATTATCGTAATATAATTACTAGGGGCATACATAGTTATTGTAATATGTTAGGGGCATGTTTATGTTGCCATAATATGTTAGGGACCTTGTACTTGCTGCCGTAGTATACTTTGGGGCATTATATATGTTGTCGTGGACTTGTCGGGGTGCTAGGTCGATCTCTTTCACTGTCGTTTATGACAAGTCTTGGGTGTAGATTGAGTTTGAGACGTTTAGTGTCATTTTTGAACATTTGTTTGGACTTGTTGATCCTTTTATTATGAGATGTTTTTGTGCATATTGTTATGTGTTTGTTGTGTAGATGTATTTTTCTAACACTTGATCCAGGGGTTTTAAAGTAGCGGGTCGAAGATCTTACTGAGTTATATTTATATATAACTCACTCCTTACTGCATGTATATGCAGATACCATTGCAGAGGGTGAAAGTATTGGCTGACGAGTTCAGTCCCGTGGATTCTATTTTTAAGGTGAGCCTTCGCATTGTTCGTGGAGGCTAGTGCTTCATCGCTATCTATTTATAGCTTATGACTTCTTTTCTTGGGGTTTGCATGCTCGACAGTTGAACTCATGCAACTCTAATAGATGTTCCATAGTTTTATTGTGGAATTTGGGCTATAAATATATTATTTAAGAGTTTGTTTCTTTTTCATGAATCGATATACAATTTTAGTTGGATAATGATTTCGTCTTAACGAGTATTGATGAGCTTTTGAGCTGTACATATTTTATCTCATTGCTTAGATAGTTTGGGTAAGTGTATGGAAATTTGATTCTCCTGACAGGTGGTGTACTGGTGTTAGTGGGTGTCAATCATATCTAGACTGTATTTTGAGATGTGACACAAGGACTCTGATACCAATTTTATCATGGCCCAAACTACCGTGACTGACACCCACATTAACCTCCAAGTGGGCGAACCAATGTTAACACCCTAAGTCATGCAACATGTAACAATTCCAACCAAAATATGAACAAAATAAAGTCTAAGTCTTTAAATTGAACAATTTAATAGAGAAAATCCAAACAAGCATCCCTAGAATTTGAAAGGTTGTCGTACTAAAATATTCATCTAAAACATCTAAGAGTAAAAGTAAATAAATAATAACTAGGAAATTCATAAAGAATCCTAGTTGCTTAAAAAATATATTTAACGGTAATTAAGTTATTGTCGTTAATTAATTGCTTCTAAAGATCATTTTTAATGTGATGAATCCATCCGTGTGGTTAACCCTAGGAGAGCTAGGGAATTGTTTGTGTTTTTCTGATGATAGCTATACAGTACATGTTGGTATATGGTGGATTAAAAAGTATGAAATAGCTTAATCATGGATTAAACGTCGCATGGTAATAGATTGTATTGTGCGTGATATTCGTCACAATAATTTTGGATCAATCATAATTTGGAATGATGAAGAAATCTTGATGCAGAGTGAACGTAGCACCCAACTAGTTTCTTATAACCCAAAGAGAAGAAGATTAGGACTGTCAATGTTAGATACATTCCAAGTTTTTATTCGCTCAAAACTGTCATGGAGGACAACTTTAAAATCACAAATATTTATTCGGAGACTTAGATAATTTAGTATTTGCTTCCTTCGGGATATAATGTTTAGCTTCTGCGGATGCTTTTTAATTCAAATATTTAGGCTTGTCAGTAAACGTTGTTTCAATAGTTTAATAGAGTTCAAAGTATCAAGGAAATTTCTTCCAACCTTCTCAGAAACAACATGACAGGGTATTATGATTAAAAGTTGCTTACTCTCCATTTCGTACACTATAATAAAAAAGAGATATTTAGCAGCAATAGATTCTTCTTTAAGCGGCAATATTTATTGTCGCAAATACATTTAATAATAATTGAGCTTATGTCATTATATTCAGAATCGCTAAAATCTTTATCGATATTTATATAACATTGTTATACTTACTCATATTTCGTATAGCCACTAAATAATTGCCCCAAAATCCTTTATTTATTGTAATGATATTTTCCGTTGAGTTTAACTGCAATACATCAACATTAGAAAAGAAAATATATACTATTAGATTACTTAAACGAAAAATAAAGGTAACGGTCCATGAAAAAATTAGACTAATAAACAAAAAATAATACATACCACCTACTACAATTTATTAAAATACATTGATAAGGTAAAACTTCTTTACATTAACAGAATATTTTAATATTATAAACAATAAATTATTCTTTTTAGCTTTGACTAATATGACAAGTTGTTCCTGACTTCAATTTAAAAATTAAACAAAGATCATGATCTCCATTATTATCTTAAAGGAATAATAGCACTTTATCCCTCAGTTGTTGATAAATTGGTATTTTGGTCCTTATGATAATTGATTAATCTTACTTAACTAAAATATATATTTTTAGCCTCTTTATATAGAAAATGATTGTTTTATCATAACAAATTTGTGAGTGTTTTCTAGAAAAGAGGTAAAAAAATGTATATTCCAGTTTATTGAAAGTTAAATGTATTAAATGTGATATTAAAAGGACCAAAATCATAATTTACCAATAATTGAAGGACCACAAATGCTATTTAACCTATTCTTTTTAAAATAAAAATACAAAAGGTATAATACATCAATATCTTCTTTAACTTGGTCTTAATTGGTATCTATGCCCTCCAACTTTAATTGTGCACAAATAGATACTCAAAATTTGCATAAAATTGAACAAGTAAACACACACGTCCTACATGATATAAAATGCATAGGACGCTATTTAGGTTGCAAATTGGTCAAGTATGACGCATATATCTACTTATTCAACTTTATATAAATTTAAGTGTCTACTTCATACGCACACCCAAAATTAGATGGCATAAATGCAAACTGAAGCCAAGTTAAAGGGTATGTTTATCTATTATGCCAATACAAAATGTAGAACCTTTGTTGATTGCTGCAAAAAGTCCACATAAAACTAATAAAATCAAATCAATTTTTTTTTATCAACATGTTGATGACTAGTTGGTTCTTTATTTATGTAGCTATAGGAGATTATGAACATGTTCTTCAAAGAAAACTTTTAGACAGAAATTGAAAAAAGTTTTAACAGTTTTTTTTTTTTTTTGGTGAAATGTATGTAACAAGGCCTCTTTCTTACTACCAAAAGAATCCAGATGCACTTTTATTACCTCCTGAAGGTCCAAATTCAGGTTACTTAGTGATTCAAGATGAGGAATCTGAAACATATTGCTGTTTTGGACATTGCAAAAATCATGATATGATGGACTTACCTTTTCCTCAGAACAAGAAACTAACCGTTCGATACGAAACTAGTAATGGTGAGAACAAGATTATTCTTAGGGAAGATGTAATGTTCATTCCAGTTCTTAATAAGCCATTGTCTTCAAATCAGTATTTTGCTATCAAACCTCATGGAAAAAGCAAAGGGTATGTTCTTTTTATGGCATATTTAGTGTATAATTATGTGATTTGATAATTGATTCAAGCTAGTAACAGGGGAAAATTACGTTGTATATATTAGGTTATCATTTGAACCCCTTCGTGAAAATTTTGTTTCTGCTAGAGTGTCACTAGCTAGTGTGTTATAAATAGTTAAAGAGTTCTTTTGATTAGTACTTACACATCTGATATTTTGTAGACAAGCATTAACTTGTTCAAAGGAGGAAGATATGCAAAATTTCTGTTTCTGTAGATGTGTACGAGACGTTAAAACGAAGCCACTAGATCCAGAGGAGGCATATCAGCAATTTGAAATTTGTCTATATAATACAGGTTGCAATGGTAGAGGTAGTTTTTTTGCCAAGTCTCTTACACCAGATGGTTTCCCACCACGATTTCTTAGGCGAAGAGGTTGGCATCTTCGTGCCAAAACTCCTAAAAATTGTGAATTATATGATGATGCTCAAGGCCTAAATGCTAAGTTGAGGCAACAACTTCCGGACTTCAATTTTACAACGTCTTGTAAAAGTTCTGAAGTAGTTGTTGTGGGGAAATGGTATTGTCCTTTCGTGTTTATTAAAGACGGAATGGTTCTTAAAAAACAAATGGAGAGATCAATGTTCTACGAAATGACACTCGAGCAGAGATGGGAGCAGTTTTTCACTTGTCAAAATGACAAAATCAATGTAGGGAATTCAGTACTCGTGGATGTTGCACTTGACACAGAGGTTGTCCTTATTGCCGGAACTAATAAAGCAACATGGGATGATAAAAACATCGTTGAAGGAGTAATATGGTTTAGAAGCTATGATAAAGATGGAAATGAAGTAATGAGTTTGGGATTGAGACGAGAAATAGTTCAAAGAATGAAGTGGGAACAAGAAAGAGGAGGATGGAAACAACAAGGGAGGATAAACCAAGTTGAAGAATACAGAGAAAATAGTAGTGGATGGAGAAGATTTAGTTGCTATGTTTTGGTTGAGAAGTTTGTGTTGAGAACAATGGATATAAGCTTAGTGATGACTTATGATTTCAAGCACATTGACAAGGTTAAGAGCATATGGGAGTGACCATGTATGACACCACATTAGTGTTGATGTTTCTGTTTAATTTTTCACCTAGTATCTGATCCCTGCATCATGGCCCAACTAAATGCAGATTCATGTTGGAAGATTCACATTAGAGTGCAAAGTGCTCCCAAACAAAAGTGTTTACTTTTTGTCCACGCGTGTGACAATATTCTGGATAAAAGATTTAAATTATATATATTGAGAATATATCATATTCTGTCATTGTAATTTAACAATGAAAAATGCCATGAAAAATTATACTGCACGCAGAATAAAGACTATCAATGTCATTTTTATAGCTTTCAACTCATAAGAAGAAGAGCTAACAATACTAATAATCGGACAAACTAAGGGTGTGTCGGTAATTAAGGAGGAAAATATTTTAAAAAATATGTTCTCGATTTTTTCATATATATATATATATATATTTGATCAGCCAAATTTTTGAAAAATATTTTATTCCATACCGAACACACCCTAATTAATCAGTAATCAATTAGAAATTAAACCCTATTTGGGGTGAAATATGTGTTCTCCTCAATTATAAATTTCTCCAATTATTTATTATACTCTGTGACCAAATATTATTATTGCATTGGCCTTGTTTGGCCTATAACCGTAAAGATATTCAAGGTTACTTGTATAACATCACAACTGGGGAAACAAAAGCCTTGCCATTCGCACTGGGTTATAAAAAAGAATGGGATCATCAACAATTGTATCTGGGATATAGAAAGATACAAATTGCTTCATGGTCTTATTTACTACAAGAAAAGGCCATGTTTAAAGATTCTAACTCTAGGAACTAACTCATGGAGAATAATTTGTGAAAAGAGTTAACAATAGATGTTACTCTGATCGTGCCTTCCTCAATGGGGTACTTTTTTGGACTAACCTTAAGCTAAGTATTATCGCCTATTTCAAGTTAACAGAGGAGTAGAATGGAACTCTTTCACCTCCACAAAAAGGTCAAGTGAGAGAAATTCAAACTGCGTTGTGGGGAAGCTAATTGTGTGCACCCACCTCACCAACTGCAATTTGACTCTGGTCCGAATTTGATGGAGAAGAAAGTTGCCTTTCATGAAGCGGAAAACATTGACGAAAGACCAGAGAATCCAAAATTTATTTTTGCAACATCGAGTCTTATTAGCACCTCAACATATATTATATTTGGTGTTCCCCAATCATTTCTTGTCAAAACTTATTAGCGGGTTTGCTGAAAACATCATCCCATTAACATTTATTGACATTAAGTAACATTTATTGACGTTTAGTTTTAAGAGTCTTCGAGAATTTGACATTGATAGGTATATATGTCGCCAATTTATCAGATTATAGTTTCGTTCTACTTTGATATCTATTAGATTAGATATCTACACTTGTCATTTTACCAAGATACATGGATTATTTTAAAACAAGAAGAGTTGTCTAATATAGAAGCAGGTGCTCCTTTTTATGCTAAGTCTCTTGCACCGGATGGTTTTCCACCACTATTCGCGCCAAAACTTCCAAAAATTATGAATTATATGATGATGCTCAAGACGTAAATGCTAAGTTTAGGCAACAACTTCCAGATTTCAATTTCAGATCATCTTGTGAAAGTTCTGAAGTAGTTGTTGTGGAGAAATGATATTGTCCTTTCGTGTTTATTAAAGATGGAATGGTATTTAGAAGCTATGATAAAGATGGAAAAGAAGTAGCAAGTTTAGAATTGAGACAATAAATAGTACAAATAATGAAGTGGGAGCAAGAAAGACGTGGATGTGATCATGTGAACATCAAGGGAGGATTAACCAAGTTGAAGAAAACAGAGAAAATAGTAGAGGATGGGGAAGATTTAGTTGCTATGTTTTGGTTGACAAGTTTTACGTTGAGAAGAATGCATAAAAGGTTGAATGGTCAATATTTTAGAATTTTGAATTAAATAACTCAAATATTCATATTAATAAAAGGTTGAATGGTTAATAGTTTAGAACTTTCAATTAAATAGCTCAAAAATTTATATTAATAAATAAAGTTTTTACATACCATCCAAAGTGAAATATTGTGAACACATGACTAACATGTTACTAACTAGAACTAATTCTCAATTTTATATTATGTGCAAGCTAACTAAATGTTTTACGTCATTTAAGAATATTATGTTAAAAGCAACAAATATGTAAAAATAAAATACTACAACTTTAAATTATTTTTTTGTGTGTGTATATTTTATATAATTAAGGCCTCTTGTTAAAATTTTATTTTATATCACTAATTTATTGACACATCTTGTCTATGTCTTGCAAAGTTGAGGGCTAGATTTTCCACTTTCCTTTTAGAACATGTCGATCTAATCGATTTTTATGATCCACTCAATTCTGCAATTTTTGAAACAAGGAAGAATCAATTTCAAAATCTCGATGTGGGAGTACACATGTTATTACATAATTTCAGAAAAAAGAAAGAGCCTAGTCCCTCAACAAATTGCATATAAAAAATATTCCCTAATTTCACAAAGTATAGAAAATTCAAGAAGTCAAACACTACAGAGAGAGCGTCAGAACTCTTACAAAGATAAGAGTGATTTTATCTAAACTTCTCTAGCTCATCTAGTCAGGTATAGGGTATAGTTTGATCATATGATTCCATAAGCTCCAAATTATTCTTTTCTTATAAAATATTTATTATTCGTTTATAGATCTAAAGTTTATGCTGTAGAAGCTACCATCGGTTGTTGGCCTTTTATCTGCATCTTTCCTCGTAAATTGACATATTTTATAAGAGAGTGAATGAATTGTAGAACACGTGCACAAAATACACATGAATTATTCTCAATAATTAATCCTTTGATGTTTTACTTCCACTTGGATTGGGGCACTACGGAGGCTAGAAAATCCTTTTTAGAAAAAGTGAATACATCACATTATTCTTCAAAAGGGCAAACCTTATTTGGAAGGAATTGATATCTATGACAAGGTCACACACTTTCGAAACTCATTGATCAAAAAAAGAAATTTTAAGTTTGAAACATTAAGTGTATGATCTCCTTTACATAAAATTTATATTTGCTAGTGGTTGATCGACCTATTATTATAAGTTACCTGTATTTACCTATCTAAAGTACTTTCTTCATTATATTATATGTTTCATTATTAATATAACTTACCCATATTTACGTGTCTTAGTACTTTCTTCATTCTATTATAATTTTCTCTTTTTACTTCCCCTGTTCTAAATTGTCCACAGACCACAACATTTCTTTCACGAGTTTAAATCCTATAATAATTATACTATGGTATACTTAATCATTATTAGATCACTTAAAACGATGCTACCAATAATAATTCATAAAAGTAGAATTATTAATCAGTCAATTTCATATTACAGTTCTTATCTGTGAGTTGATGCGGGGTATCTAGTAGCAATCTCTTGAGATGGATGCTCATCCGTGAGTTGAGGCGGGGTGTCTAGTAGCAATCTCCCTATCCCATAACTATGTGCCCACATAGGTTATTAGCTTGTGGATCCACCTAAGCTAAAAGTAATGTTCCTACCTTAGGCAAGTAGGAATCCCTTATCGGGTGTGGGTAACACCGAGATTTGATGAATTTGCTCACATGGTCTATGTCGGTTAAGGCTTACCTCTATAAAGAATGATAATGAACTATGGCTTCTCAAGAATGCACTACTTAGTGTGGGTGGGGTTATGGGACTTCATCCATACATTGCACAAGTAGGCTTTGAGAGGGGCTATGATGTGTTCCTCTAATGTCTTAATGTCTAATGAATAAATGTGCTCTTAATGAAGCTAATGAGAATGTTGACTTAAAGTCTTATTGTAAAGATGCATGCTTTACTTGAATTGTATTATGAGTTACTTTCCTTGTCATGACTTATGAAATGTGAAGGTTCCTTATGCATGAGTATTCTCTAAAAAATGAGTTTGAGTAAGTTCATCTATGGTGGCCTCAAGGTGGTACTTAGTAGGGATAGTAGTATGGGATACTATTCTTACATTGCACAAGTATAGCCTAAGGTTACCTAAGGTGACGGCTCTAATATGTTAAAATGACTTATATGTTGAATGTGATTGTATCTTATGCCTCTTATGCTTAAGTTCATGAAGTTTTCTCAAATTGGCATATGACATGATTTTCAAATAAAATGTCCTTTTTAAGCATGGTTTTTGCATGGCTATCATACTTAGTACATTAAATGTGTTAACCATATTTCATCTATTTTTCTACAAAGTGTAGGTTCCGACATTTGAGTTGCTTCCTTCTAGTCAAAGGGCTTGGATTGATTTCCCTCCATAGCTTGTGGTATGTCCTCATGGATCCGAGGACAAGTGCTTTATTGATGTTTCATGTCTTTCATTGTACTAGATACTTCTTAGACTTTCTATTGTAAAGAGTCGTGACCCTACTTTTGATTCAAAGATGTTTTTATATGGCCATGTCAGACATGCTATGAGGCAAGTATAAGGCTTCGGAGTCTTGTACACTGTGTTACGTCCGGGGTATATTGTCTCAGGTCGTAACAGTTTGGATTAAAATTACAAATTTGGAGCTTCGAAGAACCCAAATTAAAATTTGCCAACCGAATTAACCTTGTGGATTGACCATGTACAAGATGATTAACAACTCCAATAATATTGATAAAGAAAAGAATAAGGAAAATAAAAAATAATTAAAAATAAATAAATATATATATATATATATCTTTTTGGTGTAAATTATCAAACTAGATCCACATTGTTTTCTTGATTATATTAAAATTTGGATAATTTTTTTTATTTGTGTTTGTCATACTTAAACAAGAGACCTAATTCATCATATTGTGTTTCGCTGATCGTTACAGAAATACACATTGGGACCTGACTAGCTCATTCAGACTAATTGCATCATTTGATAGGCCATAATACAAAGGTATACATGGGCATGCAATTTATCACCACTTGAGTATATATTCTCCTTCCCTATGCATCAAACTCTCCAAATGCATTACATGACACATCACTCATGATTGTCTTGAGCGAGTAAAGTTTGAAATGTATATAGTCCTTTGTTGTTATGACCCAAAGTACACACTAGGCGTAACATGGCGTATAGGATCCCGAGAGACCCTACACAAGCTTCTTAGCATATATCATACAAGATAATAGAAGTAAAAAGTTCTAAGTTATAGTTTTATTGCATAAAAGAGTTTGACAAAGCAGAAGTCTA